CGGGAAAGCATTGTAGCCATCATCAAGAACGCCCTAGATTGGGAGAGAAGGAGCGGTGCGACATTCAACATAGAGAAGACGGGAATCATACACTTCACTCGTAAGACCTACAAGACCGACACACAACCATTCATGATCAAGGGGCAGACTGTCGAGCCCCAGAACCATGTCAAGATCCTAGGAGTGGTTATGGATGCGAAACTAAAGTATAAAGAACACACTTGGAAGGCTGCGTCCAGGGGATTGGAGGCAGCAATGGAATTACGACATCTCCGAGGACTGTCTATATCAACGGCACGGCAGTTGTTTACATCCACAGTCGTCCCGGTGGTGGACTACGCCTCCAATGTGTGGATGCACGCATACAAAGACAAACTCGTGGGACCTATCAACAGGGTTCAGAGAATGGCGGCGCAAGCGATCGTGGGGACCTTCCTCACGGTATCAACGAGCGTGGCGGAAGCGGAAGCTCATATCACCACCGCACAAGATCAATTCTGGAAGCGAGCCATCAAACTCTGGACGGGCATTCACACACTATCAGACACCAACCCATTGCGCAGAAACATTTCTCGGGTGCGAAAATTCAAGAACAAACACCGCTCGCCACTCTACCAGGTGGCAGACGCACTTCAAGGCATAGCAATGGATGAGTTGGAAACCATCAACCCGTTCATATTGACACCTTGGGAGAACCGCGTACAAACCATCACAAACGAGTTGACGACAACACAGCGGAATGTCAAGTACGATGTACTCATCGCCGTGAGCAGCTCGGCGCGAAACAACCTGGTGGGAGTTGGCGGAGCTGCGATGCTGCCGCCGTCCGTGAACGGCAGCCCAAAGCTGGGGACCTTCTCCTCTACGCTGGGTCCGAGATCAGGACAGAACCCATACTCCGGGGAGCTGGCAGCGATGGAACGAGCGTTAGACACCCTGCCAACGCTTACGTCTAGCCGTATCGAGATCTCAACACGCAATAAAGCGGCCGTTCTCACGCTCCGGCAGCCTAGACAGCAGTCTGGGCAACACCACATCTGCCACATCTACGAGTCAATCAGAGCACTACGCAGGAACGGGAACACAGTAACAATACGGTGGCTCCCTGCGGGCGATGAGGACAAGCTTTGGGAAATCGCTAATAAGAATGCCAAACATGCCACTAGACAGGGTGCCACTCCGCAGACGCAAACGCCCAGGGCACGCGCAACAACGCTCAACGTAGGATGGTCCAAGAGAAGCACCACTAATCACCTGCCAGACAAAGTCGGAGCTCATTCCAAGCGAGTCGACGCAGCACTACCAGGCAAACACACCCGACTGCTGTACGACCACCTGTCACGAAAGGAGGCTGGCGTGCTCGCTCAGCTCAGAACAGGCATGGCAAGACTCAACGGTTACCTCCATCGGATTGCAGTAGCACCGGCAGATCAGTGCGCATGCGGCGATCGCATCAACTTAGCCCAGTTCACCCTAGTCTGGGCCTTCTGGGTCGTTATGTAGGTCGAGTCTCGCATTCCCACATGCGGTTTGAATCACCCCTTCTCTAACCGCACGGCCAATCCAGCTTCACCGCATGCCTCGCCTGGCGTTCCGACCCCGACCATGGCAGCCGCAAAGACTGTCTCAGCGATCTATCTTGCGTTCCTACTCATTTCAGTCGTCCCAATATTCGCCGACGCTCTGACCGACCACTCGGGCGACCAGTACCACAGCTGGGGTCTCGACTTCTTCGGGGCTGTTCACATATTGTTCGTCAATCCCATCGTGAACTTCCTTGGCATTGCCGCCCTGTTCGCTCAGGCTCGCATCCTCATGGCGCAGACGCCAGGCTCAGGACTCGGCGCGCTTAGCCTGGTAGGCCTCGCCGCACAAGGGGTCATGTTTGCTCTACTTGCCCCTGCATGGTTATGGCGGTTGTCGTTTCCATGGGATGAGATCAATGGGCCATGGTTGGATTGGGTCGTCTTAAAAGCATGGTTTCAGATGGTTGGTTTCGTGCCTGTTGATTACGCTGTCTTTGCTATTGCACAATTCGTCTTGTTGTTCATAGCAGTACGGCGCCATCTTCACAGCGGAGACATCTCTGGGCCGTCTGGTAGCGAGACTGAGCCATTGCTGGGAAATTGAACAATTTGAAGTCTGTTGAGTGACATCGGACTGGGCCTTGAGCAGCTCGACGGTCGAGGTTGGGCCACAGGATCCAAAAGAAATATACCTTAACTCTCCTTCATTCCAACACCCTAAACTCCACCGGTGCTGAGTGCGTTACTACTAATCTCGGCCGCCCCCCATTATCCCGTGGATCTATGACCCTTCCTGTAATCCAGCACGGCAGTGTAACCACCGTCTCAGCATGCTCCTCGGCACCACCCCAGTCCCACCAATCTACAACTGCCCCATTGAACCCGTAGAGGAACACGTCGCCGACCGCAGTATCATCTGGGAGATAGCTCCAGCCCGGCTCCTGAAGTGTTTTGGTTGTCGCCCAAGTCTCGCCCGGCTTTAAAGTTGTGAAGTCCATGTGTTCAGCTACACGAACCGTTTCATCAGGGAAATCAAAGAGCCCACACCCCATATCAGTATCATCCATATTGCATCCTTCCCAGGGGACGTGGTCGTCGCCACCACGCCGTCGATAGAGACGGAAGCCTTCCCGATAGCCGATATTGTCAGTAAGGCCGTATATAATGGACCGGGTGCGGAATGTAATCGGCTGGGTTGTTGTTTCCGAGCTTGGCTGGCCATCCGGTCCACAGACCTGGCCAGTGTAGGTGACCTTGACTCCAACAATAAGAAAGCTGTTGATAGTTACGGTCGGCGGACACTTCAGTGTAACGTTGAGTATTGGTGCTCCTGGGCTGTGTATTGCGTCAGTTTAAGTCGTCATTCAAGAAATTTAAGGTAAACTTACACTCGGTCTTCAGGTCCGAGAGGAAAAGACCACCCCTCGATAACTCTCATACATTTTTATCGCCTCTTGCTCTCGCCATCTCATCTCCATCCTATTTGCCACATCGAAACCATATGCGGATAGAGTAGTTGCCCTCTCCGGCCACGGCTTCTCCTCCTCGTACGCGACGAGTGAGATGAAAGCGCCACCAGGAATCATCAAGGCAGGGCGCACCTCGTCTTTCTCGAGCCGATGCCGCACCTTCAGCTGCTTATCGAGAAACACAGACCTCGTGCCACAGTCCCACAAAGCGACCTCACCGCCAGGGTATAGCAGCGTGTACGCCTCGCCTGCCTGCATCGCCTGGTAGTAGTGCTCCGGGAGGTTCACAGAGGCGTGCCCCTCGCCGCCGGGTAGGAGCTCCCAGAGATAACCGTGCCCACTGCTTCCGTCCGTGGCAATTGAGCCATCCTTGGGCGGCCTTGCGAACTTGGTATGGTCCACCGCGCACGGCTCAACACCGTCACCGGTGGCGGTATGGTGAAGTAAAATGAGACCCTGGTGTGAGAAACCGTCGTAGAGCGGGTGCCATCGGAAGATGCATGGTCTTATCGAACCGTCCTTTTTTGCCCGACGGATGGTGAAGTCGACGACGTACGGCAACGTGAGGGATAGTCGTGGGCGTGCGGTCGCCTGGAGAAAGAGGCGGGGAGTGGCGGGTCTAGCGAAGATGAGCGATTCACATTCAGCAATCAACATGCTGGCAAGGGGTTTATTGGTCCCTACTTCAGATCATCTTTCCTTACTTTAATATAAGGTTTTAAGTTCCCGGTTTTACTCATCGCAAGACGACACGAGGAGGTGACGAGAATCCCAAGACATGAAGGCAGTATGAAGATCAAGAATCAAGAATGGGGACGGTTTTGCCTTGTCATAAAAACGGTCCTGTAAATGGAGGACAGATAACGATGCTCGAAATCGTCCTAGCGGGGCCTTCTCCTGCGTGGTGAATCGTAGGCTTAAGACTGACCACCCCGCCAAGCGCACTCTTGCGTCGCCATCCTCCCTCCACTTGAACAAAAAAAAGGGTACTCCAAAAATGGAATCCTCCCCACCACCGATTCAGACACCCTACGGATGACTTCCCGCCCCTGGACGTCCTCGAGAGTGAACTGGATGGAAGATGCCATGAAGATTTGCAGCTTGGAGTTTGCGAGTGAAGTATCAGTTGAGGTTTCCAAAGGAACATGAACACACTTGTGGGCTGAGGAGACGACGAGTTGGGATGGCTGATGCTGATCTCTTTGCGCAAGCGACAAGCTTCGTCCAGAACACTTCCGACTTCCAAAGGACTGACTGGGTGCCCTTCTATAAGGAACGGAATTTTGACAATCGAGCTGGCCCTCCCTGGCATTGGTCGGACGTAAACGCAGCCGGCTCTGTTTGGCATCCTGCAGCGGATGCAGCCACGGTTATATCCGTCTGCGCTTACGACCACGGTTGGACGGCAGTGCTGCGCCAGCTAACTCGCATGCCGGAGTCCCATCTGGGACTGTTTCAGTCGAACGAGTGTGGTGGTAAAGAGGACTCGAATCACATTCAATGACAGTGCTTTTTACATGCTAACTCGCCGTGTTTAGGACGCGGTTGAGACGAGTTGTGCAATCTGCGGGCCTCCGGCGGCCCCGAGGCCAGCCATGAATTATGCGCTTTTGGAACCAAGTGCCTCCGTAGAGCTCCGGTGACAGAGGTGACACTATATCCGGTTAGGTTTCTCGTCATTACAGAGGAATGCTCTCAGCCAGCCCCATATACACATCACACCTGGCCTTTCTCCCGCCCTCCCAGTCGACCGCCGAAGCGAGACTAAAGGCATTCCGCAGGCCCGGATCTGCAAACTGCGTCACCGTCGCCCCCCACGTCAGCTGCGTCTGGTACGGCACACCACCGGTGGTATTCAGATTCAACAGCTGAGGCGCGGCATCGTTCCAAGCAGGCCAGTTGGTGGCCGGGTTCGGCGCGCCCGGGTTCTCGCTCGCCGCGCCATTGGCCAGCTGGGCGCTGATGGACGGAGTTCCCGTCCGCACGAAGTTGCCCCATATCCGGCGGAAGGCCCGGGCAAAATCGTCCGACTGGTTCGGCGTCTGGGGACCAAAGTAACCCGGCACGTCGGCGCCGTGGGACGCGTAGGGGACGCTGTACTGGTAGAGCCAGGCTGACTGGCCGGCCTTGCCGCCAGAGTAAGCCGAGGCGAGCCAGTAGGCCGGACAGACAAAGATGGCTTCGGCGTAGATGTTATTGGCGCGCTGCTGCTGGCCGTTGGCGTCCTGCGAGACCTGGACGGCCGTGAGCCCCGTGAGGCCATTGGTCTCGTAGTGCGGGCCAGTGGCGCTGGTGAGCGCGTCGTTGGGGTTGGCCGCGAGGATGGTGTTGAGCTGGGCCGGCGTGAGGTTCGGGAACTGGGCGGTCTGCAGCCAGTTGACCAGGTCGTCCTGGGTGGTCAGCGTGGGCGGGACAAATAGCCCGCCTTCGTTGGCGTTGTTGCCGACCAGCAGGCTCTTGCCGTTCATCTTCTTGGCGGCGAATTGCTGGCTCGGGCGGGACATGATGTAGCTGTTGTCCGTGACCGGCCAGAAGCCCCTGAGCCAGGTGGTTAGTGGGACTGCCGATTCGATGGGTAGCGTCGTAGCAATGACGCGCAGACCGAGCTCACCAATAACCATAGGGCGACTGCTGAGTGACGGCATAGCTGGCTTGCTGCAGCGTGTAGGTGTCCTTGCCGACAAGGCAGTCAAAGACGTTTCCGCTGCCGGGGCATCCGGCCGCCTGGGAGAAGGCATAGTAGCGGGCCGTCGGCAGGGCATCGTCGTACTTATACTGGAACGGCAAGTAGGGCGAGGCGGCAATGCCTCGCTTGTACAAGAGGGTGCCGAGATTGCCCTTGACGGCAATTCCGTGGTACATGACGGAGCCGGCGCCCGCCGACTCGCCCGTGATGGTGACCTGGGACGGGTCACCGCCGAACTGGCAGATATGCAGCTTCACCCAGGCTAGGGCGAGCGCCTGGTCGAGGATGCCAGCATTGACGACGCCCTTCTTCTTGACCTCGCCGGACGAGAGCCAGCCAAACGCACCAAGCTAGTCGAGAGTCCAGTCAGCCAACCTTCTTCGAAAGAGCATAGGTACCTTCCCAACAAGACCCACACGGTACTGCAGCGTCACGGCTACAAAGCCCTTGTCATTAGCGTTGATAATTTCGCTCATGTCTTGGGTGGCATCGCCCAAGCCGTATCCGCCGCCGTGGATCCAGACGAGCACCGGGAGCTTGGCCGCATTGGGAGGCGCATAGACGTTCAGGAAGAGACAGTCTTCGTTGCCTGGGACGTAGGGGGCGTTGGGGACGGAGGGCAGCGACTGCGGGCAGATGGGTCCGAAGGCAGCGGCGTCGGTGACGGGCGCATCCAACTTCAGGGGCGGATTTTGGGGCGGTTGCCATCTCAGCTTGCCGGTGGGAGGGGCAGCGTAGCGGACACTGCTGCTATGTCAGCAACCGAGGGCAAAACGGGGTGGGCAGGATGAGGGGCTGATCGAACCCTTTCCAGACGTTCAAACCTGCCGATGCGTTGCGGTAGCCGCGGTATTTTGCGTAACCCAGGTCGACGACCAACGAGTCGTCCTGAGTGCACGAGAGGAAGCGCTTCCCCTGCGCCTGCTGCTCCTGCTCGGCCTGGGTGGCGTTGGCGATCAGCTCCGAGACGAACAAATCAGCAACATCTGTCGATCCGTCGTCTGGGGTGGTTGCAGCGCCTTGCGGTGCGCAAGACACCAGCGCACCGGCGAGCACAAGGCCGGCATACCACCTCAGCAGGAAGGCCATTGCGGAAAGAGACCCGGGACGCGGTGGGCGAAGAGATACTCGGACTGTGAGAACCGCCAACGGGAGGAGCCACCTTGAAATACATCAGAGTTTCGGCATCGCGAGCAGGGCCCACGACAACAGCGTGGAAACGGAGTCCACTCTGCGAACCGCAATGCCACATCGATACCAGACTGGAAGCTAACCATAGAATCAGACGGACCAATCGCTCTGTTCTGGAAAAAAACAAAATGGCCTCCATTTCGGGACGGGGGCAGGGGGGTTGCCCGCTGAGTGATAACCTAGTCCTGAAGGCGGAATTCCCACCTCACCATTGTACCGGTTGGCTCATGTCTTTCGGAATGCTACCGTCTTGGCCCAAGGGCGGATAAATGGGATGGTGTCGGGCTCAGGGGGACCGGTTTTAGGGGACTGAGGCTCAAGTAAGGTACCATAGGCATTTCTGAAATTAGCCACATCCAGAATTTCCCGACGAACTGGAATATGCGAGTGTGAATCACGAGGTTGCGGTGGTACGGTACACAGTCAGGTAGCCTTGGTTAGGCTGACGAGATGGGATTTCTCAGGCCGCAAACCTGAGGCTAAAGGGGTTGGGAAGATGCATCTACGTACACAGTACACGTAGGTACAGATGGTGTGAATTGGATGAGCGGGGCGTTGCCTGCAAGCTAACGTACATGATAAGCGAACGTCCCAGACATGCGAACGTCCCACAAATCCACTCCTTCATACCTTTCGTCTTTGTATCGACTTTCCCTCACAACGCAATATGCCCCTAAAAAACGACGAAGCCCAAGTGCAATTAGCCCTTCAAGCAATCCAGAATGATCCGAAACTGAGCCTAAGAGCTGCAGCTAGGATCTATTCTGTGGACCACGAGAAGCTCAGTCGCCGAAGACGCGGTAAACATTCACGAC